GGACATACTGCCCTTTCTGCCACACTCAGTCACCCTTCTGACTTTACACTGTGTCCAGTTATCTACTAATACACATACTGGTCATTTAGGACTTAAAATTAAGAATAGTTATTATGGTTTCTAACACTTCAAAAAGAATGTATCTTCCTAAAAATGTCTTGGTGGTTATACTTTTAAAGCAAAATCGATGTATACTTTTAGACAAATCGATGTTGAAATTAATGTTTTGCTTTCTTCTTGTATCTATTTTCACTTCTCTGTCATTTTGATGGAGAAAGTTTCATGTGGAAGGATTTTTATTTCAAAACTGAAATAGCATGTGACATGAGAATGGGAACACTGAAAGGTTCAACTTTCTAGTTTACTAAGTTTGTCACAAAAGCTACTGACAGTTAATCCTGATTGACCTGTATTGAAAGTGAATTAACATTATGTACAACTTAAGCACTATACTTTCTATCGGATATAGAAAAATAGGTGGCGTGTTTGTAAAAGTATTGGGCTAGGAGTCAGGAAGCTTGACTGTTAGTCCCAATTGTGCTTCTTCAACTGAGCACCCCTAGGCAATAATTTAGCAGCTATCTCTTAAATACCTAATGAATTTCAGGCTTTGTAGCTGGGCTGGGAATATAGACATAGATACTGCATTCATGATTCTCCAAGGCTCCCTTCCTCACCTGGCTCACAGTGAGCTTTCTTATGCATTGTGTAAATCTGTCTCCTAACAGGCCCCTACTCTGTCTCCAACCTGCTTCCCAGGGCGGTTGTGAGGATCAAGTGAGGGAGAATATGTGTGAAAGCAAACTATAAATGATTTTAAAATGTAATAAAAATATGATCCATGGAAAATTATTTAAAGATCCTTAGACCTTTAAATAAACAGTACATTAGGCCAGGTTCTGTGGCTCACACCTGTAATCCCAGCACTTTGGGAGGCTGAGGCAGGCAGATCACAAGGTCAGGAGATCGAGACCATTCTGGCAAGCATGGTGAAACCCGTCTCTACTAAAACTACAAATTATTCGCTGGGGGTGGTGGCGTGTGCCTGTAATTCCAGCGACTCAGGAAGCTGAAGCAGGAGAATCGCTTGAACCAAGAATTCAGAGGTTGCGGTCAGCCGAGATCAAGCCACTGCACTTCATCCTGTGACAGAGCGAGACTCTCTTTCAAAAAACAACAACAACAACAAGAAGAAGAAGAAGTACATTAACCTGAATTCTCTCTGGTTTTGATTTTAAATAGATATGAAAATTTTTCAATGGACCACTGAGATGGTTGAAAATCTTGGCTTGATTATTCTCCAAGAGAATGATACAGTGGTTTGCATGATTAATTTTCTAAAATTGCTAGCAAAAGAAATCAAAACCTTTTTTGAGTTGCTGTATAATGGGGAAATGTTTTATGTGTTCACTAACAGCTTGCCTTTGTTTGATTCCAGCTGCAGCATATCGTTGAGTGATGAGATCTGTGTGCAGGTGACTGACCTTCACCTGGCAGAAAATAATAATGGGGCCACCGGAGGCCAGTTGAACACACAGAACTCAAGGAGTCTCCTGGAATCAATGTGTCAGCGGAAAGCTGAGCAGCTAATGTCAGGTGAGAATTGATTTAAGGTGAGATTTGCTCAGGTAGTCAAAGAACTTGCTGGTGACAATGTAAGTTGTTAGGATTCTCTGAACCAGAAGTTAAAGCTGGGGTAC